TAGAATTCCACTGAAAACATAACAGGTACGTCATATTTGTAGGAGTCTTTGACATTTCACTTACAGTACTCAAGTTTTAGGGCAGCAATGAAATTTTAGTGTCTTTGTTTTAAAGTAAAGTAACTTTAAAAGAAAAGGAGGAGCTGAAATGTCAGAGACTTCAGCTATAACACAAACTTATGCATACTGCCTTCTTCATCCGGAAGAATACATTTGATCTGCAGAGGGAAAAAGACAGTAGGAAAAAAAAGTGAAAAAGTCATGCCTTGCGCTGGAGGGAATTATGTGGAAAAAATGCATGGGATGTCAGGAATTCTCATGTCTTAACTCTAGCATGGAAATGAATGAAACAGAGTCTACAAGTCTTTCACAGAATGGTTTGGGTTGCAAAGGACTTTTAAGATCAAGTTCCAACCCCCTTGGCATAGGCAGGGACACCTCCCACTAGACCAGGTTTCTTACCAAATATAGAGGAAGCACTTCCCTAAGCAAATTGGTCTCCTGAGCAAAGAAATACTATGCTTCCTAGCTAGACTTGTCTAATAACTAACAACAAAAGGGGAAGGGTACTCCACAAACTTAAATCGTTTTCATCCTTCCTTGGTAAATGCAGAGAGGTAGGGACTCCTGGTACTTGCAAATTTATGCCCATCTTTACTATTGTTTTCTCAGATATTTGTGTCTACTCCCCATTTTAGGGGAAAAGTAATTTAATTATAGCCCCCCTCTTAAAATACCAATAATTTGAAAAGAATCAGACTGTCTTTATTTGTAGCGCTGCAACTCTGCCAAGTTTAGCACCAAGCACTGCAGAAGGTCATAATGGAGAATGGCTTCTACAGTAGGCTGTAAACTCCCTTGGGCAGTCCAAAAGGTATTGTACAAAATATATCCAGTAATAGCACCCCTATTTAATTTAGATAGGATTTTGGTTTGAGTTGAAACCAAGGAGATTAGCAGATTCCCCTGATGTATGATTGGTCGTGCTCCATACCCCTTGCAGGAAAGGAAATTCTCAGTTTTAATCTGATCGTTGAGAAGTTTCCTCTTACCACAGGCTATTTTCCTCATTTTTACGTTGCAACTCTTATGAGGTTATCATTTATTGTACCCATTCACAAGGCCCAGTTTTCTGATTTTGAAGTATTTGAAGTATTTTACGTATAATGAATAAAATGAGTGCAGTATTCACCTCAGTGAAGCTATTGTGGAAATGGAAATGGTGGATATAGAATGGAGGCTGCAATCCACAGGAACATTCTTACAGGGGGGGAAAAAAAAAGTCCAGATTCTGTGGCAGAGGTACAGATTCGTTTTGGAACTGTGGTTGTGGCTTTGCAGTCAAATACTCAGGGTGTATCCACAGAAGGGAACTTTTCTCTTCAAGGTTCATTCAAGGACACGGCAGAGAATTCCCATTAAGACTGAAAGCAGCAGTTAACTGAGAATCCAATTGTTCCCAGGATTTGCTAATTTGTGTATGATACCATCAGTCCAGATGGGTTTCCTTTGTCCAGCTTGTTGAAAAGTAACTGCCTATAGGTTAGGACAAAAGGCAGAAATTCTAAATAATGTTTTCACATAGGCATCCCAGGTCTGAAAGAAACTTCTGTTATCTAAGCCCATCCTCATTCCATGAGACTGCTTTGCAGATCTTGGTGTTGATTCAGTCTGATGGTTTGCACTTGGGTGAAATCCATCATGGTCACTGGGAAACAACTGTAGTGTGGGCATGTGGTTAAAGAATGGGCTGGAGGGTGAAAAAGGGCAGTGGTTTCTATCTCACAGTGAGTAAGCAAAAGGAAGGAGGAAGAACCAGCAAAATGGAGGTGGGTTTTCGCTGAGCTGTTCCTGGGAGGATCATGAAACAGATCCTTCTGGACAACATGCTTGATCATTTGAGGAATGAGTCCCTTCCAACCTGGGCCATTCTGTGATTCTTGAGATGCAAATGGTGTTTTTTAGATAGTGTTGTAAGTCAGAATACAGCCTGCTTTTGTGCATGGGGTGTCAAGAGTTGGTAAAGGCTAGAGGGAAACAGTCTTAACAAGGGAGATTTCAGTGAGAATTATATTTAGTGAAAGTAATTCATATCTCTAGAGATACTTCATTTTCTTTTGAACCATGCTTGTTCGCAATAACTGTAAATAAGAGAATTTGATTTTACGTTCACATTAAGTTGTGCAATAAAACAGTAAAATATACATTGTAGGTAAGTGGTAATGCGCAATTACAGTACTGAGTCATAGTCACATGTTAGTTTACACTGGTCATGTTTTATATATGGGTGTAAGCTATTTGCTTGCTTGTGTCATGTGGCTGTCCAGGGGAACCAGCACTTGTGAGCCTATGTGATATAAATTCTTTATGTTTTGTAGTGGCATCCTGACTGCAAGGGCAGTGGGCCTGAGCCTGTTTTCTACAGTATGGATAAACTACTCCACAGCTCCATTCTAAGCTATAGTTTGCCTTATCCTCGTAGTTCTTAATATTTATTGTATCCTTGTAGTTGAAATATTAGAAGATTAAAAAAAACCCATACTTGATACGAATTTCTTTTTAATGTTCCAGATTGTAGGGCAAGGGAGAGCATCTTGCATGGCAATTCTTCTCTCATTATTTCAGTGTTATCACTTTTCTGTGCAGATAGATCAGTGGTTTATTGAAACTTATTTTGTAACTTTGGGGCTCAATTCCATAACTGAATGGCTTGTGTGAGGAAATACCTACTCTTTTCTACAATGATATCTGCCAGGCAGTATATTTTTATTAAACTGGAAGGAAATGTATTGCTGTTCTCACTAGATTTCCTTCTCAAATTATTCTCAGTTGTCCCATCCTCTTTTTCCACAACCTCCCTCCCTCTGCCTGGACAGCCATCACTTGCTGCAAGATGAGGCAGCTGAAGGAACTGATGAAGTTGAAATCCAACCCAACGCACCCCACAGAAATGTTTTGCTTGTTCCTCTTGTTAAATTAATCTGAACTTTGTGGGTTCTTCTTGGCATATCTTCCTTTGTTTCTGTCAGTTTATTATTCTTTTTTTGCTACTTAGTCATAAGTTGTTATTTCTCCCTGGGTAATGAGCACACAGTAGGAAAGCACTAACACTTTCTCCTGGATATTCTGCTGTAATTGAACTATATTTAACGTTCTTCATCAGTTTGGGTTGGGATTCCATTTGTCGTAAGAGTGGGAAAGAAGAGGGAAACTGGAATTGATTTTACTTTTGGAAGCCTTTGTGGAATTGTTCAGCAAATGTATCAAGGGTGAGGTATCTGGGAGCCCTTATGCCCTGTTTGTGAGCTAGGCACAAAGACCCATGACAAATGATTATTTCTAGTTCGGTGGGCTCTGTGCAGGGTAGAAATAGAGCTGTGAAGGGAAAACAAGTTTTTTTGTTTTTGTGTAAACTAGATTGATATTTAGGTACCAGTGAGTAACTCGGGATCATAGGGGAAGAGCAATTTCCATGGGTTACAATGAGACTCATAGGAGATCCTGAACTTGGTAGCTAAACTGCATGTTAATCAGTCAGCATGAAAGTCCAGCCCGCAGACAGATGTGCAACAGACCTCTTTTGTCTTGTAGTAGGAATGAACTTTGGCAGTGCATTCAGAGCATTGGTCATCTGATCTGAGCCAGTGTATGATCATGCTGCTTCTTGCTCTTAGTCTCTTACCTGGTTTAAAAGAAACCAAGGGGGGAAAAAAAAGGAAGAAACACTCCACCACATACATTCTCTTTGAAATTTCAGTAAATGTATCATTTTGTTTAAGAATTAATGAAAAAAGTGAAACAGTCCCACTGCAGCATTTTTGTTAATTATAATGATTTGAGAGCACACCTTCAGGATAAATTCCTTTGAGATCTCAATAGCATTTTAACTGAGCTGTTGGGGAAAATATCTGTAATATCTTCTGTGATTTAGCTGTGTTTGAAGATTCATATATTGCAGTGATTAAAAATATTGATATATTCATAAATCACCAATATAGTGATGTGTAGATAACAGAATAGAAAGCTATATACAACATCTATGTGCAGAGTTAATCGCTGACCTGCCAGCAAATTATTACTGGCAACATGGATATGGCAACATATTCTGAGATCAAATGAAGATGTGGTTTTGTATAACTCTTGTATAACAGAAACTGTTAAGTCTTATCGTACAGTAACCCCTAAATCTTAGTTCTTGCTAGGTAGAAAACCAGAAATGAATACTAACTTCCACCTTTTGGCATCAGTTGAAACTTGATGCATGTTTAGTAATGGTATGAAACTGCAAAATATTGGTAAAATATGTGGCTGGCAATGAGGGTACTGTTGGAAGGAAACAAAATTTCTCTGCAGTATCCAGTGTGGTTCTCTTGAGCATTGCTTTGGATCCCCAGTGGCTTTTAATCAGAAGGGAATTTCTAAAACTTCACTAAGTGAAAGCAATCTCCTATACAGAAATGTACTGCAGAGATTTGAAGCTGTTTGTTTTGGGTTGGGTTTGGGTTTTGTTGGTTTGGTTTATTTTTTTTAATATTGTAACTCAAATTATATTGATACAAATTTTATTACTCAAAGTACCTTCCAAGTTTGCCACTCTTTAAACAAACAGGTCTTAGAAGTATTTCACTTGCTATGGTACATTTCCCACTGAAAACTGCCACACTTGTATCTTTTTCTTTTTTCCTTTTTCTTTTTCTTCCTGTTTTCTTTTTTTTTTTTTTTTTTTTCCTTCAGTAAGCGGTCTCACCATGTTCAAGACTTTTAGATCTGTAACCTGTTGTATGTACGATATAGTTACTGTAAGTCCTGTTTTCTAACAGCATGCTCATTTCCCCACTAATATTTTAATTGACTTTGTAACTCACAGTACATCTCACTTTCTTATTTTTGGTCTAATTTTCCTTTTATCATTTAAAAATAATTTGTTTAGCATCTGTTAACTATGAGAACTTTAGAGTTTTTTACTTTGCATTTCTAATACCGTTCTTTATCTGTTTTAGCATCTCCCTGTATTCTTCCCAGTGTTCTTTACTTCCTATTTTCTTGTAAGTATAGCATATTCTATTTTTACCCTCAGTTCCTATTGACCTGTTTAACTATGTGAAGTTAATTGAAGCTTCATCTCACTCCTGAAGAAAATAACACAATTGCTATATAAGTTCAGTTCAATTTCTACATCCCCTCCTTATGAGTGAGGTGTCTCAATGTTTGTCTAAAAAAGTATTTAACTCAATATTTTTTTACATAACACATTTATCTAAAATTGCACAGCTTTCATCTTGGTAGAAGTTTCAATTCTATTTGACAATACCATCATATTTCTATTTTATTTATTTTGTTCTGTTTAGAGGTCGGCATCTGCTTTGAACAGATGCGTCCCTGTCAGGTTTTAGGAAACAACAACTCATGTAACTGCTCCGACACTTCATCTCATCTATGATATGTTCTAAATGGTTTCCAAATCTAAAAGTTTGCTGACAGTGAAGCTAGTAATGTACTGGTCCCAGCATTTTTTTGTGTACACCATCTCTGGTTTTCTTAATAGCAATTCTTCTGCCTTTTCTGTAGTGACCACCTCTGATATTTTTGGCTTCTTAATGGGTTGTTTCCTAAGGCAAGATTCAGCATTTTAAGCTTCTGCTATATATAAAGATGTTCAGTGCTCTTCGCCCATGTACTGTCTCTGAGTAAATTAAAGTCTGAGTACAGTGACAATATACAGGAGTCAACTTGTAGATTTTTTTTTTTAACCACGGTCAAACCAGTATGACTCCTATGTAAAGATGTATTCTTAACTCTGTTTGCAAATAGTCAAGTAAACCTTGCTTTCCTGTTGCCTACTACATAAGCTACAAAAAACTCTCTGAGGCTGCTGCATACTTCAGTTGTAAGGATCTGATATGATAAAGTTTGATCTTGTTTTTGCTTCCCTTCCTCTTAGCACAGTGGATAATACTTGCCGTGTCCCACTGTCTGAGATGGATCTTAACTGGTTTGTCTTTTTTTTTTTTTTTTTTTCCCTAAACCACATTGTTAGTTTTTCTGGGCCACATTTATAACTTCCTAATTTCCTGAGAGTTTCTTCAACATCTCAACCACCTAATATTAGTCTTAGTTATCTTTTAGTTGCTCATTTTGTAATGGTTAGCTTTTAGTTGTTATCATTTTGTAATGGTGTTGCTGAAATGGTATGTTAAACACCATAGTGTTATATTTCATTGCTTCCTTAGCTGTCTGTTCTATCTAGCAGTTGGTACTACTTTTTTGGACATATATAACTTCTGGAAAGGGGAAAAAAACAGTAATTTATTCAAGATTTTTACCGTAGCTTTCAGGGATTGGGGCCATCTGTAACTGTGGTAATCCTGGCTTCTATACAGACATGTTCTTTAGCTTGAGGGAAACTACTTGACCAGCTCTGCACCACATTCATGAAAGCCTCAACAATGAAAGACAAGCTGATTTCTTTCTTCAGCAGCATAAAGAGAATACACCCAAAATCTGCTCACTTATGTTTGATGCATCCTGTTATATAGGGGCAGCTGACTGTCTTCCATTCTTCCTAGCTTCTGGCTGAAATTAGAGCATTGCCCTTTCTGTTTGCTGCTTTCAGCTTTAGTTATTGTCCCGTGGCTTACCCTGGGCATGTTGTTTGGTTTCCTTATTCACCACTATACTCTCAATTTCTAAACGTGATGAAAGTATGTTCTTATGATGGGTCTTTCTCCAAAACATACAGCTGTGTTCAAGATATTGGCTACCTCTGCAAATCCCCAAACCTGGAGATTCACACCATATTTCTGGGGTCAAGTTGCAGGCTGAATGATACAAATACTTCCTGTTTTCTACCACAAAGGAAGCATTACTTTTGGAGCAGCCCATGTTACGTTATGTTGGCCCGCAGATGTTTGTGGTATGTCAGTAGAGGCTGAACTTTCCTACCATCATTCCTTTATGTTCTGTTGCTGTATGACAGATGGCAGCAGACAGGTAGTCTGACAAAATGGTGTCTAATATGGAAGTGTGTATGAACCAAAGGGGTATCAGTGAATGCCTCCATGCAGAGAAAAATGGCACCCTCTGACATTCATTGATACTTGCTGGATGTTTCTGGAGACCAACAAGTGGAAATGAATACAGTGAGATGGTAGGTAGGTTTCAGCAGTGGTAACAGCAATGGTGGATCAGCTCCACTGGTGCAGATTTTTAGGAGCATGGTATGCAGGCTCTTGCTTATCACTGGCAAAAATGCATAGCTAATGGTGGTGACTGTTAAAAATAGTGTTCTGTAGCTGAGAATTTGCTCTATCAGATAGTGTTCCTGTGCCCTTTGTATCTGTAGTAGTTTCCTTGGAAAGAAGTATGAGGCATTACTTTTGGAGCACCCTATGTAGTTGCCTAATTCCTTGAGTGGAAGAATACTGCCCAAGTTCTCCTCATGTGATCCATACGTGAGCTCCATGCCTAATGCTCTCATGAGTCTGTTACTGTTGACTTTATGGCTTCCTCTTCCTTTTTGTTTGCTTTTGGTTTCAGGTTTAAGTTTGTTTTTCTTTTAGTATGGGAAGTATAAAGAATCCATGAGTTCTCTACTTCAGAGATGTCCTCACACACCCACTGGTATTGCTAAAGACAAACACAAAATCAAATTCAGCTTGAGAACACAGGCTGCATTTACTGTTCTCCTTTCCATCATAACTTAAGCTGTTTGGGATTAATTCCTCTCAAATAACACAAAAGGACAAAATCGACAAGGCAACATGCTGTTCTGAATCATTTTTTTAGTTCAGTGCTTTGGAATATTCAGCACCTGTGTATGAGATGCCTTTAATCATCCTTTATTTAATGTGGGCTTAGTTTCCCTGAATACTGGGAAAACTTGGGGATAGGTTGCCTTTGGAACAGCTTGTGTCTTTAGATGTGGTGTAAATAACGGTTATGTGCTTTGCCTAAAGGCAGGATCTTTAACAGATCTTCTTGGCTCAAATCCTTGATTCTTCAGTGGAGACTACTTTCCTCTGGGAACTTCTGCATAAGAAATAACCTGTTTGGCACATGTGTTTCTGAATGCATGTTCATTCACAGAGTCATGGAGTATCCTGAGTTGGAAGGGGCCCACAGGGGTTATTGAGCCCAGCTCTTGTCTGCACACAGGACCACCCAAAATCCAAACTGTATGTCTGAGAGCACTGTCCAAACACTCCTTGAACTCTGGCACTTGGGGCCGTGCCCACTGCCCTGTGCAGCCCGTTCCATGCCCACCGCCCTCTGCTGCAGACCCTTTCCCTGACCCCAGCTGCCCTCCCCTGACGCAGCTCCATGCCGTTCCCTCAGCCCTGTTGCTGTCACACACAGCAGAGCTCAGCGCTGCCCCTCCGCTCCCCGTGAGGAGCTGCAGCCACCATCAGGCCTCCCCTCGGCTCCTCTGCTCAGGGCTGAACAAACCCAGGGACCTCAGCTGCTCCTCATACACTTTGCCCTCCAGGCCCTTTCCCATCTTCCAGCCCTCCTTTGATGCTCTCTAATAATTATGACCTTACGTCCATCAGAGGACTTGAGCTATGTTGCACACTGCCAAGACCTCTGATCTTTTCACCTATACTTTCTATTTTCCTCCCCAGTGTCTCTGCCCAGCTCTGCTTTTTGCTCTGCAGCCGTTCAAGCAGCAGAAGTACTCATGGAGCTAGTAGTCATCTCGCTTTAGCACAACACCCAGCCCTGCAGCACTTAAGATTTTTTTCCTATAATGTACCCCAAGAAGTCAAATGAAGCTTCCTCCTTTACGCTTTCCCAGACAGTTATTTCTGCCAAAGTCAGTAATTTCTGATAAGGGCACACTGCTGCAGAACAAATTGTCACCCAGTGTTTTCTGGTGCAGATAACCCATAAGGTGTAAGGTCTAGCTGGCCATATTGCACAATGGCTTGCTGCTGTGTACAGGCAGGTGGCCCTTGTGCATCAAGCTAGTTCAGCCTCAGGTAAACTACTGACACTTCTTAATGAACCTGTTGGTTACTGGCCCACAGGAGGTCAAGACATCTGCTGTTAATGACAGACCTCAGGCAGTGAGTGGAAAGATAAACATACCTCCTTAAGGGAGATATGTAAAAACAGAGATGCTTCTTCACTGCTGGGATTGCTCGCTCTAGGTACTCTGATTTGAAAGCTGTTATTTTTCTGTAAAGCCAAATACGTACGTATCAGCGTGCTAAACCTCTGACAGTCCTCTGGCCCTCTTTGCCTGGTACATTTCTCCATCAGAAAGCCAAACGTTTATGTGAGTGGTTGTGAATGGAGTTCTTGCAAACTGGTATTAAAAAGCTGCATTTATGTTAGAAAAATGAAATGTGAATACTTATGACATGTTGTTTTCAAAAAGAAGGCAAATGAAAATATTCAGCCAACGTAGTATTGCTATACTTGCCTATTCAAATATCCTTAAGTTAGCAGAATGTGCTAGGAAGTTCTGGTGTCCTTACAAGAATGATGTCATGTGTACAGAGCATGTATATATTCATGTCTATACAGGAAACTGCCTGGGATGTCTTGGCAGAATCTATTCTAAGCTAGCCTTACATTAGGGCACTCTTATTCCACATGAAGAGAGCCTTTTTTTAGATCACTTTGGGAATTGGATTTAATTGCAGTGAAGTGTTCTTAATATAGAATGTGTTCACCTCAGGAGTTACTGTGAAATAGCTGGGTATGCTTCAAGTTTTAAACCTTAGCCTATTTTGTGGTAGCTTTCCTCCTATAGATGAGCCCCGAGAGATGTCCTTACTTAACTCTCAAGTTTGAGAGCATTTTGAATGAATGCTCTGGTATCATAACCTGCAGCTCTGAGAATATTGAAGAACAAGATAGCAGAAGGCTCTTTTCATAAAATGTTCCCAGTGCTAAGTGGCCTCAAAAAGGAGTTGGTAACCTGCAAATGGCTTTTTCTCATTTGTATTTATTCATAAGGAGTAGAAATACAAATGACTCTTTCCTTCCCTCATCAAATATTTTGCTGCATGCTGCTATGACTTATGGCTGGGATTTGTTG